TTGCTTTACCAGAAGAAAGAAAAAAGACAAGGAATTTCCAGTACTGCAGAGTCCTACGGAATAAGAATGGTTTCTTGAAAGTCAACTTATATCTATATATTCACTTACATATGGATTGGGTTTCAAGAGGTACTCCTTTTACTTTTGGTAAAAGCCGAAACTCAAAACACTAGGAGTTGACGTATTATCACAAAACAAATGTTTGGGTATGACTTTCACCCATCATTAATGTCTAGAAACAGAGAGAGAAAATGAGCAAAAGTTAAGAAAATCTTCTATATCACCCAATACGAGTCAGGAAGTTTAAAAATGTCGAGCAGTGACCAGGAGAAATACCTCAAGATCAAGAATTGAAGAGCAGAGAAACCCAGTAAGAGTGGCTTTAGGCGTCAGCGCTAGGCACCACGGAGAAGCAAGACGAAGAAGAACAAGGGGAGGTTCTCAAGTCCTATCTTTGACTTTGCCTTACGTGGCCTAAAATCTGATAAATCTTTACCCAGTAGAGCACTGTAACGAAATTGCTTGAAGGACCCATTCTTCATGCGTGCTTTTCCTTTCGGTAAGGGCACGGGTGGAATTCGTCCCACATCATCCGGATATGAAGTTTAGTCAAGCGCTGAGCTGTACAAATAAAGACCTTTGAACACCTTTCCAACATACTTACCTGGACGGGGTCAATGGGCGATCAAGAAGGCTCATGGCCTAGGCTAGTGACTTCCATTGCACTTAGGAAGGGCGCTTAGTCTAAGGTCTCCCCAAGAGGGAGAGCCTACGTCATAATTTGTGGTAGCGGGGGCCTGCGTTCGCGCGGCCCCTACCAACTCTAGTCTAACATTAGTACTCTCGGTACACGTAAGTGAGATAGATCATCGAATAATTAAGTTTAAAGGGTCGTTCTCAGACGAAACAATGGTTTCTGACTGATGAAATCGAATTACCAACAGGTCGGAGGTTAATAAGTAGAAAAAAGACCACATATATGCATAGAGATAGACGGAAGAGAGAAGATTTCAACTGAATGGATGGCCAATATAATGAATTTTACGGTGGATACTCGAACGAGGAGCCAGGGTGAAGTCCCACATCGCGTAGACATTACAAAGAGGTCGGCCAAGCGGATGTAAATGAGAACCGTCGGCAACCCTAACAACATACTTACCTGAACGGGGTCAATAAGCGATCCGGAAGGCTTATGGCCTAGGCTAGGGACCTGCATTGCACTTTGCGGGGGCCCTCAGCTTAAGGTCTCCCCAAGAGGGAGAGCCTACGTCATAATTTGTGGTAGAGGGGGCCTGCGTCCGCGCGGCCTCTGCCTAATGATAGTGAAATCGTTGTTGCTCTGCCAGTAGAAAACTTGAATTATACCCTCTTCACCAATTAAGGGGTGCCCTTCATTGTCTATTCACAGTTTTTGCTCTGATTGTGTAATGCTTTTTTTGGTTTGTTTCTTGATGCCTCAAAACCAACGTCCCCTACTGAGACGTGATGTTTAATATTACTTACGATTGCTCCGTAGGAAAGTAATATTTAGGCAACATTACTAAGATATTAAAGGTGCTTAAACTTTAAAGAATCATACTGTTAACCGCTTATCGGCAAAAATCGTTGTATTTGAGCCCATCTTAATGATATAGAAAATATTTTTGTTTTTTTTTTCAAAATTTGTTAACATCAAGAGATTCATATCAACCATGCATAGAATATAGAAAATCAAACAAATATGAATCATACTATGACTTTTTGTTCCATCTTTTACCTATTCTTCATGCAAGCCATTCCAACCTATATTTACTGAGGGCAATATGGATTTTTGACTACCACAGTGGAATGACAAAGTTATTTTCATCTCAACACATTTTCCGCATGCTAAACTACAACATATTTACGGCTTGCTAAACCACAACACACTTACAGCTTGCCAAACTATAACACGCTCCATGACCATACCCGTGCCAACCACAGTAGTCTTCTATATAAATTATAGTTACAGTCATCTATCACCACAGTGGTCCTACAAATCATATCGTGTAACCACTCTCGTAAGAGGGTATGCCATTATCAATAGGGAACGGTCCTCACACGTCTTTTTAGAACATATGAGGGAGAAACAAAACTCATCAGAGATAATAGCCTAACAAATTACATCATTGTAAATGCCATGTATAAATATTATGATATTAGGCCTACATTTCCATTTTCATAAACTATTCATGCATTCTAATGCAAAAATCATGATATATCGTGCATCAGAAATATTCCATCATAGCCATATCAAATAATAAAAACCTTGACAAACTAAAATGAAGCAAAAACAAGTAAACGCTATGAAGCAAAAGGAAGACCCGAAACTCCCTTTAACATTTGATATTCGTTCTGATTATAGGTATTGATATTCCGAGACCAATCCAGCTGTTGAGCCAATCGGGTTTCGAGAACCAAAGAGGTTCTCTCCGTTCGGTCCCGGCCGTTTTGATTGGGGCTGGATTGGGATGTCTGCCCCGCCCCAAAAAGAGGTTGACGGGGAGTGGTGGGTGGAGTGA